ACACACACACACACACACATACATATAATCAATTTTGTTTATCTTTTCATCTGTTCATCTGGTGTTGGACATTTCAGTTGTTTCTACCTTTGGCTATTGTGAAAAATGTTGTAAAGAATGCTGGTGCACAAGTTTCCATTCTTGCCTTCATTTCACCTGGGTATATACCAAAGATTGGGATTGCTGGATCATGTGTTATTCTATGCTCAACTTTTTGCAGAACCAGCAAACTATTTTCCACAGTGGCTGTAATTTTATATCCCTACCAGTCATGGATAAGGAGCTCTAGTGGTGTGATGGCTAGGACATTTGGCTGCTGTTCTGGTTACCTAGTGCCACTCTGACAGAAACGTACCACAAATGGGATGGCCTTAACAAACAGGAATTTATTCTCTCACAGTTTGGAGGCTTTAAGTCCAAGTTCAAAGTGCCAGGCTCTAGGGGCTGGGTGAAAGCCCCTCAACTTTGGGGTCCAACCGTGCCTCCTGCTCCCAGCCCAGTGGAGCTAGAGGCATTTCTTCACTTAGACAGCTGCTGGCTGCTGAGGCTGACAAACCCAAGGTTGGCAAGTAAAAAGGTGCCGTCCCAGATATTACCAAACCATATGGCAGGCCACTGATTCAAGTCCATTGACAGGCCCAGGATCAGCAGACAACATGGCAGACTGCTAATGTAATGACTCGGCTCCATGCAGGAGTCAAGTGTGCCAAAAACTAGAGACCTTCCTCCAGGCTTCTTAATATACTGGAAGCAGACCACATCCCTAAAGCAGCTACTCGGTTGCTCCAGTAGATTCCACCATAGAGTTAATTGCCAATCTCACCATGGGGAGTAACTAATCCAGCTGCCCAGCCACTCAACTAGGCCCAGCCAAGTTGACATACAACCTTAACTACCACAGGCAGCCTGCTTCCATAAAGATGGACAGCTTTGGAAACCCAATTGGGGTTGCTATGAGTCAGATTCAACTCAATGACAGTGAGTTTGGTTTTGGATTACAAGCAATGGATGAAGATTTCTTTTTCTCCACAACTTTGCCAACACCTATTGTTTTCCTTTTTTTGATCATTGCCATTCAAATAGGGATGAGGTAGTATCTCATTGCTGTTTTGATTTGCGTCTCTCCCCAGAGAAGGACATCATGCTTGGTAAAGGAGAGGGTCAGTGGGAAAGGGCAAGACCCTCGTTAAGGTGGATTGACACCGTGGGTAGAGTGGCCTCAAGCATAGCAACAGTTGTGAGAATGACACGGGACTGGTCAGTGTTTCATTCTGTTCTACACAGGGTCACTATGGGTTGGAACCAACTCAACAGTGTCTAACAGCGATGGCTAATGGTACTCTCTGTGGTTTTCTGACCCTCACCTAACTAAGACTGCTGGCTGCAGGCAGAAATTCTCTCTATAACACTGCCTATGCATCTACTTGTGCTGAAAGGAAGAGAGGCCTATCCTTTTCCTTGTAGTAACTTCCTGAAACCCAAAGGAAGCAACCACACACATCAATGTCCTGACATTCCTACCAGGCCACCAACGCAGTAGGGTTTTGTTTGTTTGTTTTGGTTTTTGACTATAACCCACAGTGAGAGATGTATTATACAATATGACCCAGGACCTACACACAAGCTCCTACACACATACGTCCATACTCTCTTCTGAATCTTCAGTTCCTGGTGCTCAATAAATACTTATTGAATGAATGAATGAATTTGTAGATATATTACTGACGCCTTACTAATTGCATTCTATTTCATGACCAACTGTAAAAATGGTGGTGAGGGCGTCTGACCTCCTCTAACTTCACAAGGAGAAAGAAAAATCAAAATCAACAGCCCAAGGCTGACTCCTATGTGGTGGAGGTCAGCCGTACCTCCTCTCTCCAACCTTTTTACAAATTCTGATACCAGCTGCTCCTCCTATGGCACTCTACTTCTCTGCTGGGTTCAATAATTTGTTGCAATGGCCACACAGAACACACAGATAATACTTATGATTACGCATTTATTAGGGAAGTAACTGTTATAATTCATGAATGACTAGGACACAGTTCTTCAGTCAGGACAGCTTCTTCTCAGCCAAGTACAAGCAGGCCTCTCTTTGATCCTGGGCCCCTCAGCCCCTCGGCTGCTCAGTCGCTGTCCTCTTTAGGCAAATGTTACAAAGCTCTTTAGCTCTGCCAGTAAGCACCCAGAGGCACCCCTCTCTACCAATAAGCCTCCTGCCTGAAGGCACTCCGCTCTCTCACTCCATGGGTAAGCATGCCCACTGTAGCTGCTTTGCGCCACGGGCCAGGAAGCCCACTGTGTTATCTCACAATGGTGTCCTAGTT